AATTTGGCAGCAGGGGGATTCATGCGGTGTTTGCATGGTGCTGGAGGCAACAGGCAGTGTCACAAGGGCCACCACTACTCAGTCTGGAGAGAAGCTTAGTCTGCGCCTTCCTCTGATCTCCCTTTCTAATCATGAAGTCATTTATCTCCTGATCTTTGTCTGGATCTGGCCAACCAGTTATAACTTTGCAAAGCTTTCTCATAATCTTATAGGAAACTTAAATTTGATTACAAACATGGCAATGATCCACAAGGCCCTGTGAGTTCTGTTCCACTTCTGCCCCCTTCTTGCTGCCGCTGCACTGTTAGAAGGCCACAGCGCTGGCTTTTCCCTCTGCCTGGGACACCTCATGGCCCAGATACCCAATAGCCTTCTCACCATGACTTTCCTTACTACCCTGCTTTAACCAGCAATTCCTTACCCCTGCATGCTCTGTCTCCCTCACCTGCTCTATTTTTCCCTATAGCATTTATTACCATGTTTATCGCCATGAAATACACCATACATTCTGCTTGAGTGTTGAAGTGTCAGTACTATGAAAGCAGAGACTTTCGTCTGTTTTGTTCTCTGCTATGTCCCCAGCATTACAACAGTGCCTGGCACACAGATTTCACTGAGTATCTGTGGAACAAATCAATGATTCAAAGTTTAGGAAATAATGCTGGTGCCTCTCAAACATTTATTGGACATAAAAATCACAAAACTATATAAGAGGCTGTCAGATACAAATAGTGCAGAAAGCATGGTCTTTGCTTTCAAGGAGCCTACTTGGAGACTCGGCGCGTGTGGCTCAAGTGGCTAAGGCGCCAGCCACATACACCTAAGGTGGCGGGTTCGAATCCAGCCCGGGCGGCCAAACAACAATAATGGCTGCAACCAAAAAATAGCTGGGCATTGTGGCAGGCGCCTGTGGTCCCAGCTACTTGGGAGGCTGAGGCAGGAGACTCGCTTGAGCCCAGGAGTTGGAGGTTGCTGTGAGCAGTGAAGCCATGGCACTCTACTCAGGGGGACAGCTTGAGGCTCTGTCTAAAAAAAAAAAAAGAGCCTACTTGGAGAAATAGCACTAATATACATGGAGTAATTAACTAATATCAGGCAGTATTAGGTATAACTATTAACTAATTCAGTTTATTTGTGACTAATGGACTCAGCCTTGTTATTCTTGATTATACCTAGTATGCAATTAAATGCTGAAGTGAGTGATGATATAAACTCGTTCATACGCATCCAGAGAGGAAACCCACAAATGAGATGCGACAGTAGGAAAAGACGATGGGCAAGAGACAAGGTTCAATATGAGTACTGAGGATCTGAAAGCAGGCATTGCAGGCAACAGTGGGTGCTCATTCTAGGTGAAGTCAATCTCATGAGAGGGCGTAAAGACACATGAAGGACAGTGAAAAATCTATGGAACAGAGGGTATTCTGTGATGAGCAGTGGTGAATGGGAGAGGAAAACAGGAGTGGGACATAGTTACAGAGAACATAATCTTCTGAGCAGAGGACTCAGGTCTAGTGAGAAGCTCTTGCCCATGCTGGTGATCGGCCTGGATCCCCTGGAACCCCACCAGTGGTTTGGTACACTCAGGCCCCCAGTGCTCCCTGCATCATTGCTAACAGTTCACCCCAGCAACTTCCCATGGAAGCAACTGAAGCTAGCTAGCGCTCTTCCCTGGTCACTCATACAATGTAAGTCTAGGACGGCTGGTAAGCAACAGCTAACAAATGCAGGGAGAGGGTATAAAAGCCCAGTCCCAAGGTAGGACAGCCTCTATGGTGTAATTTCGTCCCCAAGTTTCCTGCTGGATCAAGTGAGGACAGACATCAAGTGAGGCCTGAACTCACACCTCGGCTCATCTCAGTCTCCTCTGCTTCCCAACTCTGCTTGACTCACACCTTAATAGTAATATCCAAAAAAATACCCTTATTGTATTACTTGCACAAGAATCCGTATCTCAGACGCTACTCTAGGAAAACCAGACTAAGAAAAGTCTGTAAAGGAGAGTACTACATATTCATGAAGATAACTTCATGTCTATGAAGCAAAAAGCTAAAATGAGAAAGTATTCTTCTAGGCAATTCGATTTGGAAGAACAATTTCACAGCAGTTTGGTTAGTGTGAGGTAGGATAAAGAAGTGACCAAGCAGGGGCAATGCCTGTGGCTTAAGGAGTAGGCCCCATATACTGGGGATGGCGGGTTCAAGCCCAGCCCTGGCCAAAACTGCAAAAAAATAAAATAAAATAAATAAGTGACCAAGCGGCAATTAAGAATGCTGTTCAAGGCTCGGCACCTGTAGCTCAAGCGGCTAAGGTACCAGACACATAAACCAGAGCTGGCGGGTTCAAATCTAGCCCGGGCCTGCCAAACAAGGACAACTACAACCAAAAAATAGCTGGGCGTTGAGGCAGGTACTTATAGTCCCAGCTACCTGGGAGGTTGAGGCAAGAAAATCATTAAGTCCAGGAGTTGGAGGTTGCTGTGATCTGTGATGCCACAGGACTCTACTCAGGGCAACAACTTGAGGCTCTGTCTCAAAAAAAAAAAAGAATACTGTTCAAATTCAGAAAAATCAAAGATAAGTCTGCAGAGTTTTATTTTTCCCTTAAAAGGCAAAAATATTTCTTTCTTTCTTTCTTTTTTTTGCAGGTTTTGGCCAGAGGCTGGGTTTGAACCTGCCACCTCTCGTATATGGGACCGGCGCCCTACTCTTTTGAGCCACAGGTGCTGCCCAACAACAAAAAGTATTTCTTTAGTAGCATTATCAATGTTGTATTACGAGTTTTTTTTAAAAAAAATAGTGTGATGTACACACTATCAAAACAGGCCGATACTACTTAACAAAGAAATGTTGAAAAACACGAAGAGAACTGCAATTAATAACACTGGGATTCTAAAACACTCAGATTTGGGGCTTCTGAATGCCTATATTCAGAAATATGAAGCTAAGATTAAGTTGTATATATCCAAATATTTGTAATAAGTCAGTTCTGTAAACTGGTTTGTGAGATTTTATATTTAAGTAGCCTAAAAGCATCTTTATTAGCGTCAGTAGCAGATTACTTAAATTGAAAATGCATCCAAACAGAATAACATCTGGTTCATTTACTCTTATGGAGCCCAGAACTGTTTTCAAAAGACAATAAGATTCTAGGTCCTGAGTCATAAAATAAACAGCACAATGTGAAAATAAGCAGGCTGGAATGAAAGAAATGACACGAAGCCTATAAAAAGAGCTCATCCCCTTACACAAACATTCAACTTCTGAATGTGAGAAACAGCCCATCATCCTCTATATTTTTGTTTGTTTGTTTCCTTGCTATCTCAGACAAGTTAAGCTTCTTGACCTCTTGGTTCTTTTTTAAAATTTATATTTGATAAAAAATGCTTTTAAATGATCATGTTCATGTGTTCTGTCCTCTATATTTAGACATTTATTTAGACAATCTTGGTGTTGTATATCTAAATATAGAGAACAGAAGAATACTTTTAAAATGAAATGATTTTTTTAGCGACATTACTTTTCTCATTGACTACTTTTCTATGCATTAGCTATCAAAATTAAAAATACACTTAACAATTAATTCAGCGATCCCACTAAGAGGAATTTCTCTTGCTTTAAAAAAAAAAAAAAAAGCCCTAAAGAAGGAACTAGTTAGAAAGTCATGATATATCCAAACAGAGTTGTATGTCTAAGTCAATGTAAAATTGTAAAAAAATATTTCCTAATTCATTTTTAAGACCCTTTAAATAGTAACCCCTACAACAGCAGTAGCAAAGACTAGAGAAACATTACCAAAGTGCTTTCCACAAAACACTAGTTTCAGGAGAGACTCCAAGAAAAAAGGTTCATCTTGGGAATCTTTGGAAGGCACCACATACGTTATTCTACTCTCAAAGACTCTTAAGTATGTAATAATTTATAAAAGACTATGAGATGTTTTGGGGTGAGAAATGGTCTTTTCCAAACTTAATAAAATATAGGATTATTTTTGTAATTATCAAAAACAATCATTAAAGCCCTCCACAACCACCTGGTAGATGATCAAGCTGCTTTCTTTACAAAGCTGAAGTTTCAGACTGGTCACTCAGTCTCTCTCTCTCTCTACGCTCTTTCTCCTCCCTTTTCCTGAGCCCAGAATATGCACTGATTCGAACCTTATAACTCATAATAATCACAGAGAACTTAACCAAATATAATTCTCAGTCCTTCAAGAAATTCTGATTCAGCATAAAAATCAGTAGTTTTAACAAGCACTTCAGATGATCTGAATGCAGGTCAAATGCTATGCTCAAAATGCCAGATACACATCATAATCCATATAATGATTAACTACAGTAAGTTGACTGTAACTAACAGATCGACATATGGAGGTGGTCAACATAAGGAACGAGGCCTAGTGTACTGATACGTGTATGTGGTGCATGTCTAGTCTATGAAAGGTAGGTCAACTAAAGGAGATGGTCAATGTAGGGAGGTAGTCAGCTATGAAGGCATCACTGTATTTTATAATTTTATAAACGAAGCCAGAGAGACTTTAAAAAGCAGTAAGTTCAAAAAGTTGAGCCTTCAAGTAAATATATTAAAAATTATTTTTTACTCTGAAATAAAAAGGAAAAAAGACAAACTAAAGAAAGCCAAACCACACCCTAAAAGAATGCCCCCTAATATACATGTACTTTTTAGGGTTTTAAGACCAATAATTTTTCCCTAAAATAAAAATTTGTTACCTGTACTCTACTGAGAAATTTCAAGAACTCTTGAATTCATTGACTTAAAAACACACAATTTTTGAGTGACTTTTGATTAAGAAAATAATTCAAAGTTTTTAGCAATTTTCATACTGCTCAATTATCCAATTTAATAGCCCATTTATAAAATTTATTTACCTGAAACAATGGTAGCAGAAACTGCTTCTTAATTGACACCATGAATCAGACACTCAAAAACACATTCCTTAATGTTGTTTTCTCTCTCAGAGGCAAACAAAAAGCAACTTACCTTTGCAGAGTCATATTCAAAGAGCCTGTACAACCCTTAATCTTGTTCTGGGCTTCAAGATGAGTCATTCCATTTGCACTTATTCCATCGATGCTGAGAACCACATCACCTATTCTTACATTCGCCTGGGATGCCTTGCCACCATCTTTTAGCTGTAATAAATATGTATCATTAGCAAATAGTATGTAAAACCAGCACACTGTACCCCATAATTGCATTAATATACACAGCTATGATTTAATAAAAAAAAAATACATATATATGCACATACACACACACATATATATCATTAGGAGGAAAGTCACTCTTTAAAAAATAAAGAATAAATGCAGACAAAAATTATACTTTCTGCTTATACCAGAAGCATATTAATATAGTATTAAAGTAACACAAAGTTACCTTGCTTAACATGTAAAGTTAAAATTTAAATGATCTTCAGGTTTTTTTCTTAAATTCTTATTTGCTCTATAAAAAAACTGAAATAATTTTCTGAGAAAGGTTCTTTGATAATTTCTCAATTTTTTTAATCGTACACCAATAGTTGTGTGATTGCTATGAATGAAGGGAAGTAGCCAAGGATACTTCACATTTTAGTAAAAGAAAAAGAATATAATCTGAATGGGGGCTTAGAAATAATTTTTTAAAACTCTTTAAATAGTTGTATTTTTGTTTGAGCACAAAAAGTAACACAGAGGGAGGATCATTTGAACAATCCTTCCTGTTGAGTCCAGTTCATATCCAGTGCTTGGGGACTGAATTCTTTCAGATCATAGGCCCAAACACCTTTTAGACCGGTGTGCTTCCTGCTCCAGGCACTTAGAAGAGAGGAAGGAACCTGGTCGTATCTGAGACTGACAGATTTTTTTTTACTGTGTATCAGAGTCCTTAATTCCCAATCTTTCTTCCCTTGCTCAGTAAAATTTTCTATCCATTTACATTGTTTAGTTTGATCTCTTTCAATCTTCATGTGTATCTATTTCATTGCTCCCAAAGAAACACATACAAAGTTACAGTAAACTGAATGGCAATGCCGTTTTCAGATACCTAGAAACAAGGAACAAGTACAAATCAAAGAAACCCTTCTAATTCAAATGATAACTTAGCATCCAATAAGTAAATGCTGATGACACTAAATACTGCAGTGCTAGAAGATGGGTGAGAGTAGGCCCAAAAAAGAAAGTAAATAACCAGGCAGAGAACAGACTGGCATGGCAGGGGTCAGGGATGGGGAAAGAAGGCACAGGGGCAAGGGAAGGAAATGTGTGTACTAAAGAGCACAAGCTGGGCCAGGCGTGGTGGCTCATACCTATAATCCTACCACTCTGGGAGGCCAGGCAGTGGATTGCTTGAGCTCACAAGTTTGAGTTAGAAACCAGCCTGACCAAGAGCAAGACTCCATCTCTACTAAAAATAGAAAAACTAGCTGGCCCTCATGGCAAGGGCCTATAGCCCCAGCTGGGAGGTAGAGGCAAAAGGATCTCTTGAGTCCAAGACTTTGAAGCTGCTGTGAGATATGACACCATAGCATTCTACCAAGGGCTACAGAGTGAGACTGTCTCAAAAAAAAAAGTAAGTAACCAGCATTCCTCTAGTACTTCAAACTAAAGGGCTTACAGAGCTTCTATCTGTGATGGTGAAAAAGTTTTAGAAATGGGCAGTGATGATGGTTGCATGCATGCTGTGAATGCAACTTAATTAAACTTTAAAAATGGTTAAAAAACGATTAATTTTTGTTATATATATTTTGCTACACTTTGAAAAAACTAATGACTTTAGAGAACACTTTACTAAAGTAACTTTTTGATAAAAATAAAATCACAACACATACACACATGCAAAACCTGAACTCACTGAACATACTTTGTAAGTAAAAGCAATAAATACAATGAACAGTATATGCTCAGCTAAGTTTTCATTACTATCAGTTGCCAAATTCTTTCTTAAAAATAATGATCAAGGCAGACCAATCTTATAGTACATAAAAACAAGTATTGAGATATAAAAATCAAGAAAATAGGACTGACTGCCAGACTCATTAAGGCAGGAACTATGTCTACATTTCCACCCCACATTACAGACCTTCACAACATGCATGCAAATGAGTGGATGCTACCATATTTATTATTCAATACTGGCAAAATCTTTGGTTTTAAATTGTGAAATTAAGAAAAACTAAAAGGTGATATAATTTGAAACTTACAAACATTTTCACGTATAACAATCAAGTGACTGGCATTGTTCTTGAAATCAGTAAGAAAAAATATCTATAGCAAGGATATATAAAATCTAAAAAAGTATAAAAAAATTTTAAAACCCACAAACCAAATATTCTCTATTACATACATATAGCGATTTAATCTACATCTTAGTACTAACAAAAACAAACTATCTCAGATGCCCAGATGTTAATGGCAGTAAGAAATATTAGTGAAATATATTTATTTCTCACCAAAGAAATAAAACAGATCAAGATGTAACTCACATCAAACCTGTCAAAATAGCTATATTACATATGCACATGTTTATATAGTGTATACACACACACACTTCTATATCATTGATTGATAGAGTGACAGAGTACTTCCATAATTCAATGATAATTAAATATATTGGATTTTAGAATCACAGAACTGAATCCAAGAAAAATGTAAGTTAGAATTTTTTTAAGTATATTTTAAAACACTAATGTAGGCAGGGCACAGTGGCTCACACCTGTACTCCAAGCACTTTGGGAGGCTGAGGCAGGATTGCTTGACTCCAGTTCAAAACCAGCCTGAGCAACGTTGAAAGAATATAAAAACTAGCCAGGTGTGGTAGCACTCACATACAGCCCCAACCACTCAGGAGCAGGAGGATCACTTGAGCTTAGGAGTTCCGATAATGGCACTGCACTCTACCTGCAGTGACAGAGCTAGAGCTTGTCTCAAAGAAAACAAACAAAAACCCCCTGTGTAGACATATTTATTAAAGTATAAAAGCAATGTGTGTACATATGTTTTTAAGAATAAGCAAAATATCTTTAAAAGCAACAATAACTATATTAATGATATAATTTTACTATAATAAATGTGTGTAGCCCTCACATTTTTAATTAGTATTTTTTTATTAACTTAAAGAATATTTAATAGTAGAAAATACTATTTTTTCTCCTCTAATGCACAGAACCAAATTGTTCAAATTATAAACTACATTTATGAAGAAAATAGTTCCTAAGGTCAGCTAAATTGCCATGTTCTATGGGACTTAGGGAAAGTCACTTCACTTATAGGGTTGTTAAAATGATTACACGCGATAACAGCTCAAGAAATGTTAGCTATTGCTGTATTATTACTACAGCAATAATTGACCTCAGATTACTAATCTGAGAAATGTAAGGGCTGCACTAGATGATCTCAAAGGCCTTCTAAGGTCCCTGTCAATTTTAAAAGTATATCTACTTGTGAGCTACCTGTACAAAACCATATAGGTTTAATCCTAAAGTAAGAGTCAAATCTGGAAGACTTCTGTGGGACAAAGAAATATCAATTCCCCACTACAATAGGCAAATTAATAAAAATTTGGAATCTTGGTAATGAGAGAAAATATTAACATAAATCACCCTAGGTTTTGCTTTACTTAAAAAGGGAAAACATTAAAAAAAAAAAAAAAAGTTAACCAGAAATACAACATATCTACCTCACCATCCTCACATAGAAACAATAAAACCCATGGGCATTTGCTCTAAATGTACCCAACAGAAGCAAGTTAAATATTCCCAGTCAAGTAGTAATATAAACGGAATGAACAATGTTGGAAGAAAATAATCAAATCAAAGACAATGTCATAACCTGATGAATGCTTCTTACTCTTTTGCGCTAGTTTCCCACTAGATTCTACAGATCTTACCATCTCAAGATTTTCAAAACCAATTTCTCAGAATTGCCTATTTTTTTAAGGACTGTTTTTATTCTAACTGCCACCTTTATTTTCAGATCACGGAGCACAGAAATTCTATAGCCTCGTGAATTCTGCCTATTTCTTAAGTGCCACATCCAGGAAAATTACTAAATCTTTTCAATACATCCATTCGTCTCCCATGACAGTCACATCCTTACCACCTTTCACTTTGACTCTGCCTGTGACCGACACTGGGAGGTTTCTAAACACCCTCTCCATATTCCATTCACGCTCTCCATATTCCTTCCTTTTCTTCCATCTTTACATTTCCAAATGACAACTTCATTATCACCCACATGGCAAAGTCATAATCATGTCAATTCTCTTAGAATAAAAAACTTCAAATGTCTTTTGCTTCCTATAATGTAAAATAAAGTTGAAGTCTGAAATACAAACCTTCTGCTATAAATTTGAGGATCATGCTTTATAGTTTGCTCTTCTCTAAGAGTGTTAAAATAGTATAGGTTTCATAAGCATATTTGATTAGACTGTATTAAATAAGAAATCAATAAATCAGTATATTAAATATACTAAATTCTAGCAGAATTATTTTTCATTCACAATCTTCAGTGAATAGGCTGAAGTAACATACGTAAAATCAAAAGTCAAATCTACTTTGCAATATAACAAAATAAGCCCATTTGGGGTATTTAGTAATATATACTTTGTAGCACCTCCAATGAGATGCCACAACTTCCCTTGGTAGCTTTATTTATCTAGCAATTTTTAGGAAGAGCCTAACTATATTTAATCTCAATCCTTTCTCAACCAACTAGCAGAAATATATTTAAACTGCCATACTAAGTCCTTTTTGTTTACAGTTTTTTGGGGCTTAGTAATATTAATCATCTTAGGTTTTCAACACTGACTTCTAAATCTCTTAACTATCTTCATTCCTACTCACACAGTTTAAACTTAAAAGCATGAAGAGCCTAAACTAATGAAGTATACAGTGGGAAATGCTCAATGCACGGAAACAAACTTAGGACTTGTGAAAATATAGTACCTCACTCAATACTCCTGTGAGTTTCATTTCTCTGCAGAACTACTTCCTCAAGCTCTTCTTCTCTTAACTGGGGAGGTAACATCATTATGAACTGTGAGTAGTCAAGGAAAGACTACAAGGTCTTTCATTATTTGCACAGCTCATTTTTCACTGATTTTGCAAGTCTGAATAGCTTGCATTTGTTTGAAGCAGTAATAACTTTCTGTCAGCAGTATACATCTTATATGGCAGCCATAAGTGT